TTTTGCAAATAGACATTAATCTGAGTGTGGAAATAACTAAGTAGTGATTAATTTTGAATTATTATGTGAAAAAATGCCAGTATCAGTTGCATTAGTTTAAAAATTTTGCAAAATTTATGTTGACTCAGTCACTGAGTAAATATGAACTTTGATGTAATTTCACCGTGTCATATAATATGATGCAGAACTTTATTGTTTTATGTGATACTCTAAAGCTCATATTGCATTATTACAAATTCTGATATTAAAAAAGCGTGTGAAAAGAGTAAGTTCAAATGATTATTTATTTATTTTTTTAGGTGCCCCAACAGTTAGTCTGAATTAATTTTTTAAGAAAAATTCAAAAAAAAAATTCAGTTTTTGCTAATTTTTTATGGTTGACCTTCTACTTCTATTTTAAAAATTTAAAGATATAAAAAATAAAAGTCTTTGCAAACGTTTCTTTGCGTATAAAGTACGCAACTTTTCTTTCAAATTTATGCTATTCAAATTTTGATTGGATGAATTTGATTTTTAATCGTTGCATTTTAGGAAAAAAAAAGTTTTATCTGAAGAGCAAGAGTTTAGTCAGATAGTAGTTTGTGTTGTGTTTTTTAAATTTAAAAAAAAAATTCTATTTTTGGAGAAATAATGAACCGTAAAAAACTTTTTACAGATAGAGATTATATAAAGACTTGTTCTTTAAACATAATCGTCAAACTTCAATAACACTCAATAAGGTCAACAATAACGTCAATAATAACGTCAATAACAGAATTTTTTTGGTTTCTACAGAAAAGATGAAAGGTGCCTTAGTTAACTGTTCTACAGATTTCAAAAAGAAAAAATTTCAGAAAAGAAAAGAATACATTTACGTTTTTGACACATACTTTACCTACTGTAAATACAGATAAAATAAATTTCAAACCTTTTCTAAAGCTCATTTTGAACTTCAGGTAATAGATTTGAAATTGAAAGATGTTTTTAAAAGTCTTTAAAACTTCCAACTTTACTTATAGAAATTGAAAACTTGGATAGAAAAAAAGAAAAGTTTCCAGTAGATCATAAATGGATAGAACTTTAAAATATTTCAGGTAGAAGATTCAATCTGTGTTTGAAACATGGAATAATGTTTATGAGTCTAACCAACCTATGCTAGTGCATACAGGGGCGCATCCAGCATTTTTTGGTCTTCGAGATAGCTGACTTCCAGACATGAAGCAAACTCCAAACATTTGTATGTTTATACTTATGTCAAGTAAAGATGCTTTGCAAAAAAATGCGATGATTGGAGGTTGGAAACAAAAAGGCCCCAAACGTGAGGACAACAAGTTGATGAAATAATTTTTATACTATTTTCAACTAGACTTATATTCATCGATAAATTTTAAATTTCATAGTAAAATATTTTAGCGTTCAAAAATTATGACCATATAAAGTTTAAACCCCCCTCAATTTGAGAGGGTTGCAAGTTTATATGGTATATTTGAACGCTGAGAGATAATATTATGAAACTTAAAATTTATCGATAAAGTCTAGTTGAGAATAGTACAAAAAATATTTAATCAACTTGTTGCTCTCATGTATGGGGCAAGGAGGGGGGTTGCGAAAATTTTGGGCCTTTTTTGTTCCCAACGTCCAATCATCGCAATTTTTGCAAAGCATCTTTATTTGACATAAGTATAAACATATAAAAGTTTGGAGTTTGCTCCATGTCTGGAAGTTAGCTATCTCAAAGACCAAAAAATGCTGCGTCCGCTCCTGGGTGCATACAACCAACTTAAGCTGGCGGTGGTTGGTTGGCAGTTTTCACTCTTGTAAAAATCTCACTAATATTTTTGTTCATTTTTTATTTAAACTATATGCTTTAAATATTTACTTGTTTATTTGCTTTGCAATGCGTAAAAACAAATTTATAAGATATTTAATATGATTATTTTATAATAAGGGGTCGTCCATAAAGTACGTACGCTCATAGGGGGGAGGTTTTCAAAAAGCGCACGAAAGCGTATGGGGGGGGGTGAGGGCTCATTTTAAAAGTACGTACTTCGAATTTCTAATTTTACACAATAAACCAGCTAGTCAATATAAAAGTTAAAATTCTGGCTAAAGATCCTAGTTTGCCATAACATAAAAAGATGTACTGTAAAGGGAGTAGAAGGTATAGTTTCTCTCTATGAACATACATACATGGGCGCCCGCAAGATTTTTTGATGTTCCAGATAAACCACTTCCACACATTGTGCAAACTACAAACTTAAGTATGTTTATACCTATGCCATTTGAAGAGGCTTTGCAAAAAATTGTTATGGCGGTTGTCTGGGAACAAAAAAGCTCTCAAATGCTTGCATCCCCTCCCCTGCCCAAACGTGAGGGCACTAATGTAGTAAAATTTTCCGACCCCCGACCACCAAAAAAATAAATAAATGAGTGGTTGTACATTATGTATCGACATTTACATCGACATTTTGTAATTTACAATATTTTTCAACGAAATTTAAATTCTTTCAATAAGTTTGAATTTAATTTTAGATCGTAAAGTTAAAAATTTTACTACAGTAAGTGCCCTCATGTTTGAGCAGGGGGGCAAGCGTTTCAGGGCTATTTGTTGACAGCTCTCCGCCATACCAATTTTTTACAAGGTCTCTTTATTTGGTATACGTATAAACACCCTTATGTTTGGAGTTTGCACAATGTGTGAATGTGCCCTATCTGATACATAAAAAAATCCTGCAGGCGCCCATGCCACCCTTATATACTGGCCCTGAGTATACTCAGGGCCAGTATATAAGGAGTGGCATGTGTGCATGCATGTGCAAAATATGGTTGGCTATTTTTTGAGTCAACAAAAAACAGGTTTTAGCACTGCAATGGCTAATAGATCGGAGTACCCCCCTCCCCTCAAAATAAAAAAACGTGTCATTAGAGTCTCAAAATCTTCCAAATTTTACCGCTAGGTTTTGCTAAAATATAATAGCAAAAGGGCATAAAATTTGCTGCTCCTCCACAACACCCCACCCCCTCTAATTACGGGGTATGGGTAGCTTACACTTGGCACTGGGTTTAAAGCTTTGTTTTCAATATTACTCTTCTCGCGTGACTCGCTTTTACAGACTTACTAAATACGGGTGCCTGAAAAAAACGTCTGCCTTAAGTATAGTTTATTTTTATTTGATGCGTTTCATTAAAAATAGCAAAATAGGACTTTACTGGGAATTGAACGGATCTCCGCTGTCACTGCCCATAACATCATCCACTCAGCCAAGCGATCTCTTCAATATTGCAAGATTTAATTATATTATTTTTTAAACATCTTCGCTTCCAACAAGGTTGCAAGCAACAACTAATTAGTGTTGGAAGTTACTGAAAGAAAAAAGATAAAGATTGTAGAGCAAGATAACGATTGACAGACGACTTAAAAGATTGCAAATTATATGAATCAGGAAAGCAAGATGAAGGAAGCGAATTCCAAAGAACTGATGAAGGGAATGAGGGAAAAAACTAGACAAATTAGAGTTTTTGGAGCACTTAGGAACAGTAACAGAAAAAGGATGACACTTAATTGAATGACGAGTAACACGAGAATGAATTTTAATAGGTGGCACAAGAGATGTTTAATAAACAAAGGGCTTTGGGGTCTTTATAAGTTTTTCACCCCCGCCTATTTTTTTTTTTTTTTTTAATACAAAAATTTATTGAAATAAAAAAGGTGGAGGAGGTACCCTAGATATTTTTAAGGTATCTCCTCCACCTTTTTTTTTTTCGATTGGCGGTATATGAAGATATGCGTACTTTTTAAGGAGGTGGGGATTTAAAAGTACGCATGACAACTGAGGTCGGCAAGTTATTGCCGACTTCAATTTTCCTAATTCCGAGGGTTGTGTTATTGAATATCGTAAAATAATAATTTTTATGATTTTTAGATTTTTGATTTTGCAATTTTTTGAAGAGTAAAGTATATTTTGTTTTATTTAGAGAGAGTGTATTTGTTTTAAACCATTCATTATATTCATTATCAATTAAATTTAGTTTTCTTTCAGTGAGTTTAATTTTTATCGTCAGATTTATTTATAGTAGTGTTTTTTTATTTTCTAAAAGAATGAGGTGATCAATCGACTCAAATTTTAATTAATCAAGATATTATCTAGAGTGAAGTGATTATAATCAAAAAGTAGTTTCGTCTTGTATTTCATCTATTGTTTTTTCTGCTAAATCAGAGCCAATGACACCGGGCGGCACTCCCCCTCCACTTTTTTTCTAAAGAACCGCCAATTCGAAACCCGTGTTGTCGACCCTTTAATGATTTTTTCAAAAACCAAACTGCTCTATGTAAAACAAACTGTTTTTTATTAAAAAGGCTATAGATTCTAATATAAATTGAACGTTCAATTTATTCTTAATTAAGTTTGAGCTGGTTTAAATTCTACTAATTTAAACCAGCTCAAACTTAATTAAGAACATTTATTTTTATTTATGAATTCTTTGTTTTTTTCCAAATTCCAATTTAATTTTTTGAAATATCCGTTGCGGGAAATATTACTAATAAAAAAGAATGTTATTTTAAAGGAGTTAAAAAAAAAGGTTACAATACCGTTAAATTAATTATTTTTAAAAAATGAAAAAAAGGAGGGGAAGTTATAAAACCTGAATAAAGCAAATTTACTTCATAAAGTTTAATTTAGTTAAAGTTTTAATTAAATTAAAGTGATAGTTGGTATATAAGGTAAATCGATATGATTAAAGCGAATAAACAATTTGATTAAATCTAACAACTTACTTTTAAAATCAAAAAATCGACTGAGTAAAGCTCTTTTTTTTTTTTTAAATAAAAACAAGCCCTATGAGATTTTATAATAAAAGAAACCTAACGAAAAAACTTGCAAGTTTTGAAAATTAAACACCTATAACAAAAATTATCGATTACTAAATTTATAAGGAGTTACGAGTTGAGAAAAAATTTTCCGTTTATCAAGGAATTAAGTTTAAAAAGAATTTTTATTTATTCACAAAATATAATTTACCTCCGATTAGCCTTTTTGGTTGTTGTTTATCTGGCGCAAGTGTTTTGTAGACAAAAGTTTCGTTAATTTTTTCTTTATAACCGTCGTCACAAATTTGGAAATTTTGATAATTATCAGATGTTGTCTCGGTAATAATTTGCTTTTTATTAAATTCGGAAGATTTTCTATTCTGACTATACTTTGATAATGCTGAATATTGTTCAGATTTTTTATTATTATATTCTTCATTTTTATACATATTAAAGAACTTTATTTTCCTCGTTAGCCGTTTCGTTTACATAACGACAGGTTTTTTATTCGATTTAAAATTCGAATATGAAAGGAACTTTTTATTCGAACTGTTCATTTTATTTAATCGTTGGTTATTCTATTATAAAAACTTGGTGAGAATTGTTTTAAGCAATAATTAATCAGGAATCAAAAAAATTAAAACTAATCGGAAGTATTAATTAATGTATATATAAAAGAAATTCTTTAAGGTCTAAACTAAAAACTAACAATCAGAAAGTAGTAACCGAATGAGATATATCATATATTAACGAGTTTGTAGCCAAACGTATTTAAAATTAAGTTAAAGAGAAGTTTGAAGTGAAGTGTAAAGTTTAAACTGGTCAACTTGTTACAATTGTTATTGATTGTTTCAGAAGGTATGATAGAAGTAGATACATATAACACAGGCTATACCTGATAGAAGAACATATTATATATAATATGTGTGTGTTTTATATGAAAATTAGAGACTTGGCAACAAGGTAATTTTGTTTTTTTCTTGCATTTTTGTGTATACACGAAATTCGCGCACTGTGTATCTACGGCTGAACTTATAAACTATTTTTTCCGTAGCATGTATAATTTGTATATATACATTATATATGCTACGGAATAATGGTTTACACTAGTTTTTTTTAAACTATTAATAATATAATTTATTTATTTTTTTTCTGTATTTTTAGCCGTAAATATCAGGGCCGACAACATGGGTTTTGAAGTGCGGGTCAATTCTTTCTATATCTAGAATTTGTCAATTCTTTCTATATCTAGAATTTTCAAAATAAAAAAAAAAAGGTCCTATAGAAAAAAAGTGGATGGGCACGTGCCCCTTGGCCTCCCCGGTGTCGTCGGCCCTAAATATACAGTGCCCAAATTATGTGTAAAAAGGTACACAAAGATGATAAAGACAAGAAAAAAAAAAGATTACCTTGTCACCAAGTCTCTAATTTTCATATTACACACACATATACACGCATTGAAACTAAAAATTATAATTAAAAACTTTGTGAAGAAGTTTGTGAAATAGTTCAAGAATATAGACTATTTTGATGTTATTTTAAAAAGTCTAACTGATAATTTTTTAATACGGTTAATAAATCAATAATTTTAGAAATAATCCTCTCTTTGCTCTAAAGGAACTGATATATATATATATATATATATATATATATATATATATATATATATATATATATATATATATATATATATATATATATATATATATATATAAATATATATATATATATATATATATATATATATATATATAAATATATATATATATATATATATATATATATATATATATATATATATATATATATATATATATATATATTATATATATATATATATATATATGTATATATATATAATTACAATTTATTTTTTATTAAACATCCTTTTAATTATTGACGTTTAATTAACGTCAATAATTTTTTGGCAATTTTTGACCCCTCTCCTTCCCTCCCCCTAGTCAATAAATAATTAACGTCAATAATTTTTTGGCAATTTTTGACCCCTCTCCTTCCCTCCCCCTAGTCAACAACTTGTAAAATTTCCAGAGATCCTCCTATAAAGTTAGATCTAGACACAAACTCGTACTACCTGTTTATCAGTTCAGATAAACCTTTTATCAATTAAGTTGGAAAAAAAAAGAAAACATTTCAAATAGTTTACAACTATAACTTATAACTAAATAAAAGTAAAATGAATGTAACCATTTAAAATTACAAATGTTAGTTTTGAACAAAAAGTAAATAAAAGTAAAAGGTATAACAAAAATTAATAAACTTTTAACTTATGAACATATTTCCAGTTTATAACTACGAAGACCTAATCTGAACAAAAAAAGGTTCACAAAAATGTATACACCTTACACGTTTAAATTATAAACATATTTCAAATTAAAACAACACTTCAAAGACTATGTTTTAATATTAACAAAGACTTGTTTTAACTTCAAGCCGAAATAAGATTAAAAAGTGACAGTGATAAAAAAAATGATAATGACAATATATATAATATGGAAGAATTTGATTTTGCCGATCAAGGTATTATGTATTCAGTGCCGGACCGTACTATAAGGCAAATAAAGCAGCCGCCTAGGGCCCCCAACGTTTAAGGGCCCCCAAAAAGTTGAAAATGAAAAAATTAAAATTAAAAGTTCATTATCGTGTTTAAAAGGGATTGTAGTGAAATATACAGTGCTTACATCAATTTTGTCATGATTTCCTGTTTAAATATTAATAATAAAAATTACTTAAAAATTGAAGAAAAATAAATATATGTGGGGGGGGGGGGCTCCACATCCATGTCTGCCTAGGGCCCCCAAATTGCTCTGTCCGGCACTATATGCATTCAATTTTTACATACTGATTGAAGAAAAGAGATGAAAATCAATGAGAGTATATTATTAAATGATGGTTTAGGTCCTCGTTAATTCAGTAGAATGGAATTGGGGGAGGGGGATAAATCAATCAGCAGTATTATCAAAGTACGTGCTTCTGATTAATTTAACAACACGTTAAATTACACCATTTGACATTTTGTAGAAAATAATAGCTTGTTCTTACGTGGTTTTGGCACCAAACTTGGTCTTTGGTTATTAAATTTTCAACTTCTAGTTCAGACTTTTTAGGCACAATATACTCGGACACTTGAATATGAAAAATTGTCTATGTTTACTTGCTTCCATATTTCTGATAATTTTTCACCAGCAAATTTTATTTTATTTACAGCAAATTATTTTATCAAATCTTCATCAATTGTTCAACTTTGTGTTTCAAAGTGATCCAAGGTAATGTGGCCATCCATCAAATGGTAATGGCCAAATTAACAACCATTTGATACTTTGGATTTTCATCAGGTTGACCATCCACAGACAAAATTTGAGTTGGTTTGACCAACTTGTTGCTTGGATCCTATGTAACAAAGTCAAACTCTTCCAATTCAAGAAGCCTTTTATAATCTAGTCGACAACTATAAACTATAATGATAATGAATGCTTGCCTGATCTGATGGCTATGTAAGTTAGGTCTGAATATGTTTCAGCTTCGGGTTTACTTAAACCGATAAACAGGTGGTATGAATTTGTGTTTAGATACTACTACCCAGTCGTGATCAGGCAATTTAACACGGTATTCGACTTGCATTAAAAATGGAGTTTACTTGTTGGCTGCTGTCAATCAAGTTTATCATTGGAAGGCAAATGCCATGTTACAGTTGTAACATGGCATTTGTCTTCCAATGATAAACTTTGTTTTGGCAAGAGCCAAGTATAAACAGCACTTCTAGTGGTTTAAAATTCTTAAATTTTGAATTATTCTGTTAACTCATTGAGATTTCTAACTTTGCGACAAGTAACACTTTATCTTTTGTCACGAGCAGCAGACCCATAGAATGCAATGTCAACAATGTCTAATAAATGTAGTGGCTAATCTTCTTCAATTATGGTCTAATTAAACTTTAATTTACTACTGACGTCAGAATTTTGAGCACAAATTTGACCTTTAGCTTTCTTTTTTTTCGGTATACCTTCTGTTTTTCTTGTTAATATTTTTCATCAATAGTAGTGCTAGATGAACCAACTTCTAAATCAGTTTCTATGTGGTCTTGTTGAATGGTTTGCGCTTGTTGTTTCACTACCTTTTTTTTTTAATTTTTACATTTTAAGATTTATTACATTTATTTTAAAAAGGTCTATTGTTAAAGTCAACTTGTCTTGATCTCCCCCCTAACCCTAGTCAACAAATGTCAAAAAATTTCTGACCGCTGCCTATTTTGTTGACGTAATAAAAAGTAAATACTTTTAGTTATAACTTTTTATTAAAACGCCACTTCTTAACCGTAATTCTGAGAGAAGCAATTTCAATAGAAAATCATGCTACACAGATAAATCGTAATGATATTTGTTATTGATCGTAGGGATTAAAAATAAATTCCACAGAATCAAAAATTTAGACATTAGACTGCGGAAGATAAAAAACTTTACATAAAAAATTACTTTGAATAACGAAATTTGAACGAACAAAATTTGAATAACCGCAGGCATAAAAAACTGAATAAAATTTACACGATAGTTTTGTTAAAATTTGCGCAATTAATTTACACATGTTAAGGAAAATCTAAGGAAACGAAAAATCGCTTCGAATTGCTTTGGGAACTTCTATTAAGTGTCAGGTAGATAAATGAGGAGTCTACTGCAGTTTTTAGTATTTTCGTAAAAAATTACAATACAAAATAATTCCAGAATTTAGAAGTTTGCCTAGCAAAATAACAATATTCAAAAAACAAATGCTTGTTTTTTTTCTTTATAATGTTAATGAGAAAATAGTAAATAATACTACCCATATGGCACAAATTCCTTAGGCCATGATTGGGCAATTATTGGCTACTATATTGGGCAAATATTGGCCGCAAACATTGGGCAAATATTGGGGAGCGCAAATTCGGTCTTTATTGGGCAAATATTGGCCGATTGCTGGATAAATCATGGCTCCAATATTGGGTCATTATTGGTTTTGATTGGCTTATCATGGCCCAACATTGACCATTAATGGGGCGATGTAGGCTAATACTGGCCCAACGTTGGGCAATTCAAGCCCAATATTGGCTGATTCAATCCCAATATCGGCCAATACAAGCCTAATATTGGCTATTCTTGGCCCTTTATATATTCACACTTTTTTTTTTTTGGCAACAAGAGCTTAGAATTGTCATTTCCATGCTAACAAACTTGTAATACATAGAATAATTGAGTTTCTTTTCAAAATAATTTTTTTAAAATAAAAGGAATGTCGATTTGAAACGCAAAGATTTAGCCTCTACCATTTTCATCTTTTCATAGTCTGGAAAATTATAATTTGCAGAAAAAATCATATAATCAAAACTAGTTACTAGAATCAACTAAAATAACATGTAGTTGATTCTATTAACAACCAGCAATCAGGAACCACTGCCACTCCATCCTCAAATTCAACTAAATAATACATTACTAACTGAAATAAAAAGATAAACATAAAAATCAGTAATACCAAATACTAAT